GAGATTCAAGAATCATACCAAATTTTCAATGTGTTCTAATTCCAATTCTAATACTTCATACTTCTTAATTAGATTGATGACAAGTCAAATTCATCCATAAAACTTCAACAACCATACCATATCAAAATTTCATCTTAAAACTCATATTGCAAATTCCTTCTTAATTCCTTTACCTTATTGTTTAAATCCCATATAAGCTTTCCTTAAGCTTATTTAATACCCAAAGAATCAAAACTAAGCTTAAAACTCAAGAATTAACCAACTGAAATTAAACTTACCTATTGTAGCTAAACCCCACGTGAAGAAGAGAAAACAAGAAGAAGAAAGCTTCCAGATAGCTCTCTTACCACGTTTTTCACTCTTATAAAAGGGGGAAGAATATCTTTTAAAGGAAAAGACCATAATACCCTTAATTTCCTTTAATAATTACTAAATAACCTTCATTATATATTCAAATAATTATTGAATTATTTCATTCTTCTACTTTAGTCATCAAATTCTGAAACTTTTCAATTTAGTCACTAACCCGGTACTGCGGATGTTACAATAGGTGTTGTTTTTGGGGATAATGTCTCTTATAAAGTCGTAAGTATTGATACAATCAAGATTAATATGTTTTATAGGATTGTTCAAATTACATATGATAATGTGAGACATGTTTCAGATTTAAGAAGGATCGTTATGTACTTTAGATTAAAAAATGATACAAATTCTCTAGTAAATGTGGAGTTATGAATATTTGCAAGATATTATCATATTCCAGTCATTTTAGATTTACATTGTTTTGAAATTCATATAATTCAATGTTTAAATTTGACAAATTTAACAAATTTAGAGCCAATAGATTCATAGTATTATTATTACTACTATTTTATAATCAAAATAAATTTAAATTAAATTAAATTTATATTTATATTTATATTTATATTTATATTTATATTAATCGGATAAGATATTTAACTTTGAATAATATGTCGAATTGATAAGAGAAAGCAAATAAATAAGTGAGTAAAGAAAAGTGGATTCCCATGGCTCACGTTGAATTTCATGACAGGTGGGGATGGTAACATGTTAATTGGAATAACATGTTTGAAATTTATGGTATTTGTAACTTTTCAGTCAAAAGGAACATAGATTGCCAAGTGCAGCTAAAGATCGAAGAAGCTTGTATTAAAAAAGTAACCCATGTTTTCTTCTGTATATTTCGAATTTTACTGCTGCTTCATCTCTTTTCTTGTCCTTTTCAAACTTTACAGCTGTAAGCAAGAATATATATATACACACAAAGCAGAACGGCAAGAAGGATTTAAAAAGAATACATGAGAATTATAAGGGTTTTGGTCCAAATTTGCAGTCCATGTGATTTAATAAGGTAAGTATGAGCAAAGAGGGCAAAGTCAATAAGACTATTAAGTATTATTCTGCAATTATTGCTGTTGTGTGTTCATGTGGACTTCAAAGTACAATCAAATCTAAAAATTTTAGTTTAAATACTTGATTTTGTTTTTGTTAAAATTAACTTCTTACCAGATATAAATTTTTAATGATTTTATCATGAAGTTGGTATAATTACATGAACATATCTATAATAAATTCTAATGAGAAATGTTAATAGTGTTGATAATTTAATTATGATTTTTAAGTCAAAATAATAAAAAATTCACTTTTATTTTTTATTTTTTGACTAAATTTCAATTTTATTGAAGTGCACAAATGGACAATATATTTTGACTAAATGTAGATATGATATATATAAAATTAGAATATATTATAAAATGTAATAGGATAAAAGTTAAATATAATCTTGTTATATTTTTTGACATCATATACGGAACTGTCGGTTCTCCATCAATCGATATCTTCGAATAAATCTTTTTACTTATCGAAACTTTGAAGGAATCTATATCCTCTGAACACATAAGTACCTTAACCTCCAAACCAACTATGCATAGCCAAAACCTTTGAGAAGCAAGTGTAATCCACCATAACAAAATCTAAGATATGAAAACTAGTTCTATTTAATTTGTTGATCTAATAATGATCCTATGTGTGAAACCATCAACTAGTTCTAATAAATGAACGTTATAAGAACATATCATCAAACGCTCTATTCATTTATATTCTTAAATTAAGAAGTATTTAAAGTGGAAAAATGGTATACCAGGGCTTATTCTGCCTAGTTTTAAAACTATGAGGGACTTAAAAAATATTGACCCAAAATTTAAAGAGTTAATACTTAATTTGTCTAGTTTCACAAGTAAAAGGACTCGAGAAAACGATTGATTGATGAAAATAATAGTAATATAGTGGATTTAAAGAATAAAAAATAGGAAATTAAAATTGATTGATGAATCTATTTATGGCACATAAAAGAGAAGTGGATAAGCATGCTCTATCTTTATACATTAAAAGCCTTTCAATATTGCCATTCATTCCAACACGCGAGAAAAGTAAAAGAAATTGTTCTGCGCCCTTATCAAAAGATTACAATCTATTTTTTTTTCTTTTTCACAAATAGATTCTATTTTTAAAGGGAACCTCCCCCAAAAAATAAATAATTAATATAAAGTTTTGATACGAAATTTAAATGCAATGAATGATTTGAAAAATATATGAATATGTGTGGTTATTTTTGAGAAAGGGAAAAGGGAAAGGAAGTGAGGAAGAAGAAAGGAGCAAATATGTGTGGTGCTTTAGTGGGCAAAAGTGCCCAAATAATGATGCGGGAATTTTTAATTCCCAAACTAATGTAGTCACCCGATTAATTTTTGATATAGGGTATTTTCTACAGGATTTTGAGATTTCTCAGCGTCTTTAGAGGTGGACCAGATTTCTCGCGTCTTTGGGTGAATTCAATTGTGGAAATCTCGGCGTATTTAGCATTTAAAAAAAAGTTGACATTTTTACACAAATATCACCTTAACAGAAATTAATTACTTGTTAGGCTACGGATCTAGCATATTTTAAATATTTTCTATAAAATTATTCCTGTATTAAATTACATGTCTACCAATTACTACTTGACATTTTCTGATGCGTTTTTTACCCTTTCAAAATCCTATACGTATAGTATATTTTAGGATTTTGAAAAATAATTTTGCAGAAAGACGCGACACATTCACCGCATTGGATTTTGAAAAATAAATATTAGTTATAAAACTTTTATAAATATTTTTCAAAATCCTATACGGTACATGTATCGCGTCTTTCTGCAAAATTATTTTCAAAATAATGATGATCTGTAATATTTTATAAAATTATTTATATTTTAAATTACTTACCCTCAAAGTTTCCTAGAATATACTATACATATAGGATTTTGAAAGGGTCAAAAACGCATCAGAAAGTGTCAAATGGTAATTGGTAGATATAATTGTATTATGTAATTTAATGCATGAATAATTTTATAGAAAGTATTTAAAAATATGCTAGATCCGTAAAATATTCTTAAACAGTGCCTAACAAGTAATTAATTTTTATTAAGGTGATATTTGTGTAAAATAGCCAATTTTTTTTCCGAAATCCCATTAAAGACGCATAGAAATCCATCTAACAATGAACACCCGGAGAGATCCTAAAACTCTGTAAAAAAACACCATATATCAAAAATTAATCAGATGAATACATTACTTTAAGAATTAAAAATTCCCACATCATTATTTTGTCACTTTTGCCGCTTTAGTGTTATAAAGCTGGAAAGGATTTATGGTGGATTAAAGAGGAGTTAGTCTAATCTGGTTTTATGTAAAGCAAAGCAACAAAATGGCAAGATTCGAACAAAGTTAAGGAGCAAGGAAACGTCCCCACAATTTGTTTAAAGTCTCTACCCTATTTCGTATATCAAAAGCATTTTCTCACCATTGTTTCGTCTGTCGTTTACTGCCCCTGCCCTTCATCAATACATGGATCTCTATGCTCTATCATTTATATGTAAGCTAAGTTATATCACACGCCATTCAATTTTAGAGTTTGTATTATTTTTCTCCATAAGGGCTAGAAGACACGCTGAAACAAGATAAAAATCAAGACAATTAAATGGTGAAAAATCGACGGTTAGAAAAGGTGAATTTGGAAAAAAAATTCTTTATAAATATAGATCGTTTATGTTAGATTTAAGAAAAAAATAAACTTGAATTCGAATTTACGAAAAAAATTGAAATGTGTATTTTTCTTAAATTTTGACCACTATCAACAGTGACTAACGGTGATGGTTGATCAACGAATAACAATTAATATGAATTAAATATATATATAATGTTATTTTTAAACATCAATATAACTCCATCAAAACAACGTTATTTTAATCACATCATTCGATAGAGAGAGATATATTTATCTATATTATCATATTGTTTAGATTTTAAATGATCAGTGCTTACATCGAAATAAAATAAATTTTTAATATTGTAATTGAATAAAAAAATTATAAAAAAATATAAAATTCTAAAATTCAATAATATCTTATATAATTTCTTATATGTATATTGTATTTACTTATAAAAATTATTAGTATATAAAATAAATTAATATATGTGTTTCATATTTTTATAACGAATGATAAGGGTGATTGGTGACCTTAAACAAAGGGGTAGCACTTAAAAGGAGGTCAAAGTCAAAAGCTCCAAATCCAAAAGTCAAAAACCAAACCCCACTGACCGACAACTTATTTCTCCCTTTCACATGCCAACAAACAAACAAACAAACAAACAAACAAACAAACAAACAAACAAACAAACCTCTTTATTATACATTATATATATTCCTCACTCGCACAACAAATTTCCAAAACCAAACACACTATCACATTAAACAAGTATAAAAGAAGGATATTGTCAGCCATATTTTTTTCCTAAACAGGTCTAATTCTAATCTTAATGAGATCAATTGCATTTGTACAAAAACTAAAAACCATCACAGGTAAAACAAAATTGTTTCCAAATTTATTATTTTACATAATGATGATGATATGGGAAACATACATAAAGTATTTTGCCTTGACAGAGAAACAAACTCCATACATTCTTCAATTTCAATGCACCTTTTCTTTTTTTAACTTAAAATTTGATTCCTTGAACCAAGTGAGATTTTGTTAAGAAGGGCTGCCAACCATGTCTACAAAGACTCGGTTGAGTGATGGCAAACGCATTACTTGTTCTTGGGCTCTGCTCTTCTTAAAAGGTGGCTCCGTCGATGACTGGTTCCAGCTATCACTGCCAAATGCTCCATCAATCACCTTCCTCTTACACGCATTGCCTGATACATCCAGGATGAGCTTGTAACACTCATTTACTTTTTCCTGTTTGCAGAACAATGAATAAAAATCCAGTATATTTAATCATATGCAAATGATTTGTAGAGTGACCGAACCTTGCTTATTTTAAGAACAGTCAGGAGCTGGTTTTGGTAATCAATGGGATTGAAAAGCTCGACTTGGTCGATAACGTGCATCATTGTTGCAGTTGCCAATACAGATGGGAGATAAAGGACAGATCTTGAATCTGAAAAAACACAAATGATGAGAAAACAGGGACACAACACAAACTTGTTTTATAATGAAAGTGTAACTTACCGGAGATTACAGAGAGGAGGAGATGTTCACATCTCTTGAGAAATTCCCAATGGAGATGGTTTTTTAACCCGAGTCTTCGTATGATGTGATCGAGAAATGAAAGCGGTGTAATGGGATGCATCTTCCATTTGAGAGTTGAGAGTACCAAAAGTTCCATTCTTTGTATAGTTTTTGCCTCGAAAATGTACTTCCTTTCTTCAACCTAGAACGAAATTAAAGAGATTATAGATGAAAGATTAGAGCAAGTATACTTGTTGTTTTTGGGGACATACTTGTAGGTCTAGAAGGAGAGGCACTTGTGTCTCTTCAACTTTTGCAGCCAGAGAGAGACAAGTGACGGCCACCAGCTGGATCATCCAAGGCTTATCTCTTTGAAACTGGAAGGTACTTAAGAACCTATCCAGATAGTTAACGGAGAGTACGGCCGTGTGAGCGGTGAACCCGTAGCGAGCATGGACTTTAAGCATCCACTCCACCGCGTCACGGCGAGCCATTGCTAGATACTCATCGGAACAGGGCTGCTGCTGATGCTGCTCTGCTTCCTTGGAGAAAAGCGAAAGAAGCTCCTCGTCTTCCCAAAACAAATCTTGCTCCAACAACAAAAGTGGGAAAAACGAAGGGTTTCGGCCATTGTTATACCCCCTCGAAGAACTCTCTTCCTCTACAACTTCGTCATCATTTTCATCATCTTCTTCTTCTTCTTCCAATTTCTCTTCTTCGCAGTAGAGTGTGTCTAGCAAGAACGAAGGGTGCTGTTCGTATTGTTGAATTGCCATCTTCTTCTTAGTGGAAGAAGAAGAAGAGGGTTCTTGAGTCCAGCTAGCTCAGTATGCTAAGGAAAACATCCCCAGATGAAAGGTTGTTGAAAGACCCATCACTGTGCAACTGGGTTTTTCCTTTGGATGAGTGTTGAAGAGAGTATAAAGAGGGTGATAATATAGGTGTATAGAGAGAGCTTGGAGAAAGGGCAAAAGGCATACAAGAAATAACCAAAAAGGAAAGACTATTGATTTTTTTATCAGTGGGTTTCACAGTTTGTCTTTTTTTTTTTAATTTGTATTTTTTTTATTTTTTTAATATTTTTATTTCATATATATATATATATATATATATATATATATATATATATATATATATATATCTTTAATAGCACGAATTCTAGTAATCTAGTTGATAAGATAATTGTTGTTTTTTCTTGAGGTCCGGTTTGAGTACAATAAATATTAAAGGTGCAACCGGTTAATGTCGAATGGTGAGTTATTTTTAAACAAATATTGTATTATACTTATCCAATATTAATAAAAATATTAACGTTTTTATTTTTGTGGTGATAATTTAAAATTCCTTTCATACCAATTATAAAATATTAATATAAATTAAAATTATACAAATAAAGCATACAGTAATAGATTAGTTTTAGGTAAAAACACATCTTAAGTCTCAAAATTTTGAAATGATGTAAATTGATCGCTCCAAAATAATTAATTTAGTGACTTTAAATTTTAAAGTGAGCGATTAAAAATTAATCATAATTTGATTTTATAAAGTGAAAAAATTAATCCTCAATGTTTATAGATTATATTAATTTAATTTTGATGGTAAAAAAATAACATATAATTTATATATTTTATAAAAGTTGATGACTAAATTTATTGCAAATTTTGACATTATAACTAAATTAATATAACATGTAGATATTTAGTGATAAATTTATTATTATGTTACGGAAAACATTAACATTGTGATTAATTATTCTTAATAGAACACTTTTGAAATTGACATGATTAATTCGCTTTTTTTAAGGATTAATTGGTCTTATTTTATATTTGAAAGGGAGCTAAGCATATTTATACCTTAATTTTATTTATATCAAAAGAGTATATTTACAACTGTATAAAAAAACGAAACCCTATTTAATATTAAAAAGATTTGGAACGGTGTACTTGGGTTTTAGAGAAAGGTAAACTGATTCATCGATAAAATCACCAGCTAATTGAATTCCATTTCCATTGGATCGGAGAGCTCTTTCTTTTAAGGATATTAATTAATTAAACTATCAAAATTAATATATATATTTCTCATCATTTCGCTTCTAAGATAAGTCTAGGTCTTCTCATTATTTTAGTGTTCTTTTAATTATTATTTAATATAAAAATAAAATAAAATTATTTAGACAGAAATAACTCAATAACAAATTAAAAATAACTTTGAGGAGAAAAACATTTGATACTGAATATTTTTGGTTTTTCTTAGGATTTGAAATTGAATTGATTCTAATCAAAATTTATTCGTTGTAATTTGAAACATTATTTATTATTTTATAGCATTTTCAATTTTTTTGGAATGTTAAAATTTATGATTTGATCTTTCTATTTTAATTATTTATCATTAATAAATTTAATTAATAATATATATTATAAATATAATTACTTTAATTTGAACAATGTATCTTTTTATAACTAAAATCATCCAAAAATTTATATTAAATTATTATTGAATAAACATTACTTACTCAATTTTTTTATTAATATAGGGTAAGTAGAAGGTAACATCTATTCAAAGATAACTCTCAAGTATTTAACATTGAATGCTCTTATCTCTGACATTTCTGGTACTCGAACTAGAGACCTCAAAAAATATCAATAATTCCTTCACTGAATTTATTGCTTATATTATAACTTTAACGATAATAACTAATGACAAAAGACAAAATACTGAAGTCTTTAGTCCACAAGCCCCAAGTTTGATCTTTAAAACCATTTCAGTACATTTTAATTAACAATTTTAATTTTTATCAATTAAATTAAATAATATACATATTATATTAGGGTATCTGTCAAATTTAATAATAGCATAAAAACAACATAGGAATGTTATTATAAAGTTTAAAAGTTCCTATAGTTTGTTTAAAATATTATTATTGATGCAATATTATTATTTGATATACTATTGATGGAACTTTTTAATTGAATTAATTATATATTAATTTTTTAAAATATTAATTAGAAAAAGTAAAGAAATCTTATGTAAAAGAAAGCAGTTGATTTTATTAGGTGTAACGACAGTTGAAATTATGACATTTATTTATTTATTTATAAGAGAATCAATCATAATCATTTATCAATAAGCATCACCACTATCGCCAGCAACATTTAAAAAAAAAAAGATTTGGTTCTCAATGGTGAAGCAGGTCAAATTAATCTTCTTTACAGGTAAAATAGTTTTAAAAGAAGAAACATGATTTGATATTCTAACCTATAAAAGATTTTGGGTAAATTAGTACTAGAATATAATGAGAGTTTTATTTTGACCATTAAATTAATTTTTTTAATTAGATTATTTAATTATTTAAATTCCCACGTCATTTTTACTTTCTTTAGTTTTTTTAATAGAATAACCTTTAATAAAACATGTTTCCGATGGCACGTTTTTCTTAAGATTGGATTTGATGTCGTCGTAATCGATTAAGATGATACTCAATTTTTATCTCGATGATTTTCTCTGCTTCGAATCCTCGAATAAGATTTGAATATTTTGCCTACGTTCGTAGATATTTTTCTCATAATGTTTGTCTTTAGTTTACGTTTGTCGATGATATTTCAATAGTTTAATCCACTGTTATGGTTCTTTTACCATAACAGTCATATATGTTCATATTTATCTTTTGTTCAAATATTTAGATTTGTTTTTCACTTTTTCCTCGTATGATTTATTTAATTTAAGTGACTAGTTTATTGTATTAATAATTTTAGGAAAATATGTTTATAAACTTTTATTGTAATTTTGACTATTTTCTATGTTTTAATAAAATTAATTATTTTATTTTTGTCAATAGAAAAATAAAAAATGTCAATTTTTAACCAAAGGATGAATTTAGTGCACTAAGACCTCACCCGCCGTCCGTAGTCTGATTCCCCCTCACTTTCCTATTTTTCATGTCATTTTTTTAATTACATAATTTATTGAATTAAATTAAAATTAGAATTAAATTAAAATTAGAATTAATTCAATAAAATGTGTAAATAATAAGAATTAAATATGTATTTATATAAATTTATTTAGCTGTCACGTTAATATTTTTGTTAATATAAATTAATTGATATCATTTAAATAATTAAATGAGAGAAATTTTAAATTAGAATACGTTATTAAAATAAAGAATAAAAACATCGAATCTAACATTATTATTAATGTTCCACTTTAACTTAGGTACATGTTTAAATTCCTTCTTTTCATGCAACGTGGTTCTAATGATGGCCATAACTACCGTTGATATTTAGAATTTGGGATTTGATAAAATATTGTATAAGAGGCAGCAAATATTGCAAGGCAGCTTCTATTCCAAGATGTTTCTTTAATTACATAGAACTTTTCTTATTGAAAATCCAAGTTATGGTTCGGTTTCAAACATTGTTGACTTGGATTGCAAACAGGAAGACAATCAAGTTGAAAATTTTGCCCATTGCTTTTATTATAACATGTTTTGGGGTACATGCTACGTTCTTCAACGAAACATTATTAAATTATGTTTTTAAGTATCAAAATCGTATTAATCAAACGATTTTATTAGTTTAATTGTCTGTTTAAACATTAAATTTTAATCTAAAACATACAATGTTATTAAACATATTATGTCTAAATTATCCATACGATAAGTACATGTGTGTTTAAACTTAGATCTACATATTTTAATATTCTCTATGATTTATCTGAACAAACATTTAAGGCATAAACTAACAATTAGGTCGATGAAAAGTCCTTATAGATATGATATTAATAATTTGAGGACTTCATTAAAATAGTTTGAGATTTGAAAACCTATTATGAATAGTCTATGGTGATTACAAAGTGACATCTGTTCATAATATTTCTTAATCATTGACAACGCGCGCACACTACAGATGCAATTACTCGAACCTAAAATCTCAAGGAAGAACAATACTCACTTTAATCACTAGACCAATCAATTAGTTCTAAAATATTAACACCAATTTAAATACATTTGATGCATTTAATTCTTGAATATGGGACATTATGTTTGTTGTTTGTCTTTTGGTATATGATAGTTGGTTGCTTTGCAAAGTCAAAGAAGCAAGAAAACATCAAAAGAGAGAATAAGTTAACTTCATCTACTTTGAAAGTAACCTATTACATATAATTCACTCAATTATATATCTTATTTAGCTTTAAAAGTTTGAACTCAAAAGGAAGAAGAATAAGAAGAAAAACCCCAAGCATTTCCTCAACTTATAAAACAAATGAAGTAACCACTAGGCTGATCTTGACATCTCTGACTCGACCCATGGACCAATAACACAAGGTCCAACCACTCTTTTTGAAAATGGCTCCAACAGTCCCACAGTTGCTTAGTGGGTTAACTATATCAGGTGCTTGAATACGACTTAATTGAAAATCGTTCTAATTATTAAATTGGATTAATAGATCAATGAATCGAATACTTATAATAATAATAATAATAATAATAATAATAATAATAATAATAATAAACTAACCACTTTTTCCTCCCAAAATCAATCATCACCTCACCATCATAATGGTCACTTTTTTTAAGATTTCAAACTTTTCAATCATGGTCTTAGCAGTATTTTGTTTCATTGGTTTGCATAAGAGTACAGCCTGGTTCAACGAATATTAAGTCATAATTGCCATAATAATCAATGGAAAAAAATATTCTTGGAAGTGAAACAACTGCTTCATGTTATACAACATATATGCCATCATTTTAAGGTGAAAAATGACTAGTCGAAGGAAAAAGAGGGTGGAATATAGTAGTGTAGACATGTCCATTCTAGTTTCATAGCTGTTTTTGTCTTTGCAAATTACCATGGAAATTCTTCAAGAATAGCTTGTCAACTAGGTGAAACTTAAACATTGGGAGAATGTTCCAGTGTCACGGGGCTAGAATTGAACCTAGCAGCTGTGTAGCCTTAAGCACAAAGAACATGAGTTGTGTAAGCAGTTCGTCCCTAGATGATCCCGAACTTGAAACGCGTCTTGGCTTGGAAGGAATG